CAGCATTTGTCATGGTTATGGCCGCATGAGTCACTTTTGGGTGAATTGTGAAACGTTTTGGTGGTTGTAGGGCATTTTGCACCAAAGGTTAAGTGGTGTGCTCAGTTGTGTATTGGTACAGCCCACTGTGTTAAGTGTTGTGAAAAAGTGGACATGGTATTGAGACAAGTGTGAAAATGATTGGAAAAAACTGTAAATACTAAAAAAAAAAAACAAAACGAAAAACGCTGAATAGCAAAGTTTCACTGTATACAGTTACGTACACTGTTGTCCTGGTCTAATCCATTCGGTCCTTTGCATTTAGCCATAAATTTTCATGGACATCACACCGAATATTTTCTCTTGCAATACACCAAGGAAAAAATCTCTTTGAGTGCCTTATCCAGCTCTGGATGTCCTCCACATGTAGGTCCACACACCCAGCAGCCATTGCATCTAAAAGCGACATCTGATCATGTGGCCGGTGGTCATATACCTTCCATCCCCATGCAGAAGAAAAAACTTCAGTGGGGTCGAAGAATGGAGAGAATGGTGGCAAGAATAATGACATCATCCTGGGATGGGCAATAAACCGCTCTGTGACTTGGTGGGAGTGATGAAAGGCCACATCGTCCCACACAATCACAAATACTGGTAAATTCTTCCTCTCCCTCCTGTGGGAGGTAAACGCTAAATCCTACAGTAGTGGGTTACAGTAAATATCATTTTTTCCCCCAGAGACTTTCCTCAAATCACACCACTACAGTATTATACACATCAGTCAAATGCCTTCAGTCAGAATGCTCTAAATAGTGTATAGTATCTGTTCCTTTGCCTGAAAATCCTGACAATTGATGCCTCTGTGGATCTAGGCAGGTGGGGCTGAACTCTTAGACCTGCTTCCCTCAGGGACAGACCATGAGTTACAACATGGTCAGTTACTGTGGCTCTGATTTCATCAGTTCCTCTCCGTTGATGTCTTCTTGCTCTTCCTCTGCCTCTTGCATCTATTTTTCACTAGCTAAAGAAAAATGGAAATGGAAAATGCCAATCCAAAGATGGCCCCTTTTGTACATATGGCAAATTGGCACTAACCACACAAATTCCTAGATAGGTGTTTAGCTGAAATTACACGCAGGTGTGTGTTTTCATTCAGCTTTCCAGCTTCAAGCACCGTAAAATGCTTGGTGGTGATCTAGGGGGATGGTGGTGGTCTAGTAGTTAGGGATCTGGCTGGGCTCCCATTAGGAACACCAGAAGGTTGTGAGTTCACTCCCAGCAGGTGCCACCATTGTGCCCCTGAGCAAGCATATTTGTCATACGAGGAAAGGTTAGTTGAGCTAAATCTGTTCAGCCTCAAGCAAAGGAGACTGAGGGGGGACATGATCCAGGTCTATAAGATTCTAACAGGTTT